GATATCAACATAATTTCCACGTATGTTATGCAATTTAGAGGAAGAATAATATTGGGCGAAATAAAGCCTTGGAAGTTTAGAAAGAAATGTGAAGCGCTAGTAGGATTATATGGGGTTGATTGTGAATTTCTCTACTGGTGGAAGAGAAGGAAAAAGGGTAAAAGCCAACATGGCTCTCACTTTAAAGAAAGGGAAGCTTGAGCTCTCAGCGAGGAAAGGACAAGGATTAGGTGGCAAGTCCTACAAGCAGAAGCGCGAGGTCGAATTTACTGCCGCCGCTGGTAACGACAATTATGAGTCCATGGAGATCGACTCTTCCTTGCCCCTATCGGCAGAGCAATCGACGGTCTCCTCGGTTGACAATCCCGACCAACCGAACTTTAAGACCCCAATATACAACGGGGTGATCACGAGGATCATCTCGGGTTGGAACTGGAAGTGTTTCAGGAAGCGCCTGTTGTGGTTGAAGGTTGTGAGCAGGCGAGTGGCATCATTCGAGGAGCGGGTGAACCAGCTGAAAAGGGGTGACCGAGCTCAGGAAGGTGATGGGAAGACCGGTTCAGCTATATGGGTTGACTCATGGGTCAAACAACTGACGGGTATGGGTCAAGAATGGAATCGGGTCTTGGAAGGCCGCATTTCATCAACGATACTACCTGCAAGTTGGCTTCCATTTTCGATGATCGCTTCATTGAACTCAGCCTTGAGGACAAGGCTGTTTTTTCAGGGGATGGTAATGATGAGCCCATAAATCATTCATCTTCGAGTGTCGCAGCCCGACGCAGCCCAACATCGCTACCGAAACTACATGGAGTAGCCAGCCCATTTCAACATAAGCTTGCTGCCGTAGGAGAACTCTTTTAATTGAATATGGTTGTTAGTTGAGTGAGTCAGCATTAGTTGTTAGATTCTTTTGGGTTGTTTACACAATTAGTGGAGTTAGTTTAGGAGTTCATAGTTAGATGAACGTGGGGTTAGTTGCGCTAATTAGATAGGTCTTTTCCATTTCCTTTGTGTATTTAAGTTGAGATTAGATTCAATAACGGTAAGCAAAATTTTAGTAAGGAAAACCTCTGGTAATTTCTCGCCAAGAAAAGAGAGAACTGGCTCAATCCCGCCAAGAAAAGGGATTCATTCACTCATACGATTTCAACTCGTATCACACGAGTTTTGGAGACGGGCGGAGAAACGTTCTTTTACAGGTTTTATCAGATATACGCTGAGCAAAACTAATGGCTCGGAATCAGATTATGTCATTCTGCATGTCATTTGTTTGTTCTGGAAACTATGGAAGAATCGTTGTATGGTGGTTTTTCAATTCAAGCTGCTCCCTCTCGATGCTCTTGCTCATCAATGGTCTCATCAAGTTAAGGAAGTGGAGCATGCTGTGTTATCTCGTACCCCAGAACCGAGGTTGTCAGCTTCGCTGCCTTTGCAGGTTTCGACTGCAACTCCAGGGATTCGGGTTACTTTTGATGCTGCTACTTCCAATCGTGGTTTTGGGACGGTTGGTTTTGTTGTCTTTGATTCTACAGGTGGAGTCATTGGGGGTGTAGCTCGGCGGTATGAGGCAATTAGTGATCCCTATGTGTTGGAAGCCCTGGGTTTGCGGGACTATATACTTGATTGCAGCAGGCGTGGGTTCCGAGCTGTATCATTTTGTGGAGATGCGAAATTAATCATCGACAAATGTGTGGCAAGAGATGCAGCGGCCAGCAAGATTGGTGCCCTGTTGCAGGAGATATTCTGACTCTTGGATGGGATGGATGTGGTTGATATTCAGTTCATCGGTAAAATTCGTAACAGAGCGGCTCATTGTGTAGCCCGTCATGCTCTGCTTTTGTCGCCTCAATTGTTTGTGAGGTTCGACTTCTGTTCTTGGCTTCGTTCTAGGGGAATATAACCCCTTTTGTCCCCATGTATCTAAATGATTTTCTCTTCTGAAGAGTGATCTAATGGCAAAAAAAAAAATCCACATTTTACAAAACCAATGAATTGGCTTGTGGAGATTGTGTGACATTCCACGTTTGGCAAGGTTTCAATTTTGTGGGAATGAGTAGTGATGAATTTTGTGGAAATACCAAATTGTCCTCCATAGTTATATATGAAAGATGGTTTATTCCAATTGGGATACCGAAATATCAATTGGGATACCGAATATTTAGTGTTTGAGATTGTGATACCAAAATTATTTAGGGATTGAGATTAATATTATGGTGTAATTCAGTATTTGATTTTGAAATACCGATACCGTATCGATTTCCACACAATGTGACACATTAGATCAAAAATACAAATGGAGGCCATTAACACCCAGAGTTGTTGGAAATTTTTCAAGTATAAATGTTATATTATTTCCTTACAGAAATGAGTTGCGAAATGTAAGGCTTCTCGCAGGGGCGGAGCCAGGATTTCAAAACCGGGTGGGCCGAAAACGTAAATATAATTAAAATAAAATATTTATTATACTTATTTTAAAGTATACGACGTTTTTTAGATCATTCAATATAGCGTCTAAATTTAATCTCTTACGTATCTTTCTTTCAATACAAATAAATAAATCATTAACAAAAGATTTGTCATTCATTCTGTTTCACATCTATTCTTCACATCAGAAAATGCAAAATCACATATAGCGAAAATAAGACATATCAACCACAAAATAAAATTTGCTCGACAATTCTTCATTGTCAATTCCGATACACGTTCTATAAAAAAGGAAAAGAATGAATTTGATTGGGTTTTGGCCTTTTAGTTTGTGGCTTTTTCGTTAGTCTAGGCCCTCCGGTACAATGTGGGAAAAGCAAAAATCAGTGGTAGATGTGGATCGAACTTGGGTGATTCAAGTCAGAAAATTGGTGTAGCTACCGTTGGACTACGTGATTAATTAATGTGACAATACACTATCAAGCTTACTTATCCAAACTATATTTAAATATTCATAAGATCCTAGGGGCCGGGACTATTCCCGGGGGGGCCGGGGCCCACCCTAGTTACTAAGTAGCTCCGCCCCTGGCTTCTCGTATTAATTAGGAGACACAGTGTTTTGAATTCGACATATATAGTACTAGTATCTAGGGGGTTTTTTTTTTTCAAAATTCAAGCCTACACATCTTAACATGTACACCTTCCACCACATTATCCAACCATCACAAATGTCACCTCAACATCACTAACAAAAATCGGATGGAAACTTAAGAAACTTTTTATTTTTATTATTGCATTTCAACGCACGGACTTTTTTTTATTAAAGTAAAGGGGTTAATAGCATTTTTTTTCATCCCATAATTCTTTTATATCCAATGTATCGAATCTTGTCATTTGAAGTTAAGAATAAAAAAGAAACATTCACGTCCGATGATTTCCATCCAAACAACGAAAGAAACAACAACATGTCAACACATACCAGCTGATGCAAGAATTCCCACTCAATACACCGGTCTTTATTCGATCGCCTTCGTACAATTATTCATGACGAGAGATTAATTACTATTTTCGGTGGTAGTAAATATCCGAAATCATACACCAAAAAACTTAAAACCCCGAAGGAAATGAACCCGCCGTCACCACACCGTTATTACTTTGCTAGAGCATCTCCATCTTCCCAATACTCAGTTAATGCTGCATTAATTCAATCAACAAAACACAAAACATCAAATCAAAAGATGATTCACAATAATAAAAGTATAAAACAGAGTAATTAAGAGAAAAAAAAAACAATATGCAGAGTACTACTTACGTCTGGCAGTCAATGGCCTTGGAGATGGGAATTCCAATATCCACCCCACATTTGGTCGGGAGGCTTGAAGCAGCCTCATCCTTCACCGGGTAACGCCCGGCGGCGGCCTTGACACACCCACAGGCTGCCCGGCGGTCGTCGGCGGTGGCGGTGTTGGCCTTCAGGCTGCGGACTCCGTCGCAGCATTTAGGGGCAGGGTCGCCGGCGCCGGTGGTCAGGTAAGGAACGCAAGGAATCAAGTAGGCGTCCACTTGCCCACAGCTAATGCCCTCTTCTCCTCCTGCAGTCACCAGCTGGATCATGGCCAGGGCAATAACCAACACTACTGCAACCATTGATGCGGCTCCCTTCACCATTTTTAGTTCCTCTGTTTTCACTCTGTGAAGTAATCGACTGTAGGTGGAGTTTTGATGGCTGTTGGAGAGATGTGGAAAAGAGGGCAGAGATGCATCTGTTTTATATAGGGCAGAGACGAACCCTGTCACGTAACAAGATTCAGTTACTCTGTTTTTGTCTTTCAGGCTGTTTCGTCAACAAAAAAAGGTTTCAGAGATGAGATTGGAAATTGGGCATTCCAATGTGTGCTCTCATCAGCATCTCCTCCCTCCCTTTCTTTTGTTTGCGTACATTACATGTCATCCAACATCCGGAAGTTACATCGATTTGTGAAATCGTACCGGAAAGATAATCGGACAGGTTAGCGGAATCGATGCAGTCAAAAGTGTGATTCTGTGTGGGAACGCTTTTGGTGATCTGGAAGAGTAAAAGCGTAAGCTCTTAGATTTTCACGGATTCGTCTATGATTTGATGAAATGAAACTTAGTTTAGTGATCGTTGCTGATCAGCGTTTTGGCGACCTAATACTCTTCCACGAACTAAACATGACTGGATTTCAAGTTTAGTTTGGAAATAAGATCGATGAATGTGTGTAATGGAAGAGTTTTGGTAAAGGGATCTCCTAGTTGAAGGATGATAGAGATACGTTGAACTTTCAACTTTCTGAGCAAGGACTTGATCTTGAGTGAAGTGACAGTTGATTTAAGTTTTAAAATGTGATTTTGGCTAAATTAGTAAAGAAACTTACAATCTTAAATAGAAGCATTTTGGTAAACTATGCTTAAAAGCGTGAATTTTATGATCGTTTGGATGAGTCTTTTTGATGAGGCAATTTGACAGCACAAAAGCAAAACGAGATATTGTGGAGCGAATTAATTACAATTGCTTCAAAACACGATTTTGATTACACTGATAGTGAATCATAGTTTAATTAGTATATTGCTAGTACTCGAACTATATAAAAGAATCTTCATAAAAATTCTACAACACAATTACAAAATTCCAAGGTGTTAGATGAAGCTTTCATTCTATTATGCAAAAAGGCTGAGTTTCTCTCGCATCAGATATTAGGTTACAAAATTACATCTCCATTCCATGTCTGCTACCCAGCACTTCGAAAGGGCAAAGTCGATACAACTCAAATACAGAAGAATTGCACAACAATCAATCAACCATTACCATAAAATGTCGACGAGGGAGGAAGAAATAAACTATTTTAAGCTGTGAAAAACTATTGGCACATATCTAGCCTGAGACCATGGCATTGTCGATCGCATGAAGTGCTTCATTCGCAAAGAAACGCACGTCTACATCTGGATCCTCACTCAGTTCCACTAAAGCAGGACGAATGGACTTCTCCACCACCTGCAAAAATTAACGAGGTTTTCACCAACAGTTTAATAAACTGAAAGGCCATGGGTTGTGGAATGGGAATAAGGCTGACTATACAGTCTATACTTACAGACTGATCAACTATTGGAATGAGGGACTGCAGGACTTTTGCCACGTTAAACTTGATGTTTGGTACCCTGAAGAAACGATTCGATATATCAGAAAACCACAGAACTTGCAGAAGACCATATATTATACAAAGGCCGGAATTAAGAATTTCATGATAAAAGATACCTGTCTTTGGCTGCATTGACAACGGGAGGCAGTAGCTTCGAACATGTAATCTCAGCGCCCATCACAGGAGCAAGAAGAGAAGTGGCCCGAAGAATGGTCATCCTGTATAAGTAGTGCGGGTTGTTGAACATCTCCAAGACCTGCAACAAGGAAAATGCCAACGTCAAATTGCCTTGAGGAAATTGCCAGCAAAAAGTACAGCAACAATAGGGAGAGAAGTATAGATACAATGGTGCCTTTAGGCAGACAGCCGTTAGAGTTATACATGCCGGTAACAATAACAGCTTAAATTATCACTTGTAAATACCAACTAACAATGCAATCCCATCAAAACTGAAAAGGGCACAACAGAATATGGAAGAAACTAGGTAAACCAGTATTGCTCGCAACCGAACAGAGAGGGGGGGAGACCAACCTGTGGGATTATGTGCTGCATTGCCCACTCGGGACCAAATTCTTCAGCAAGGCGCTTCAAATTATTAGCAGCAGCATCACGAATCGAATAAACCTGCAGTAAACCAACGAGATGGGCGTGAGTAAGCATTCAAAAGAATGAATTATTTTAGTCCTTAAGACAATAAGTATAGCCTATCCATGATAAGCAAAGATTCCATGTTATTGTCCGAAAAGTCAAATTCCAGGGGAAAACATTAACCATGGAACATAATAATAACGACAGCAGCACTGCCAAAATCCACGTATCGCCTAGCATAATACACAATAAAAAAGGAGATTATTGTCTCTAATCTAATAGACGTTCACATGATTGTAAAATCAATACCTTGTCCTGCAACCACTGCATGCAAAGACTCCCAAGCTTATCATCAAAGAAACCAACACCCAGTTGGCTTGCCAGTAGGGGTATGTACTCTATGATTGCGAGCCTAACCCTCCAGTGTCTATCCTCAGCAAGCTCAACAATTGCTGGTAATAGAGATTGGGATAAAAGATCAATTCCAATAACCTACAAAAACACCACATGATGTCAATGCATTAGGCTGAAATGGAGGTATTCCAACAAATGCCAAAGAGAAAGACAGAAATACAACCCAAAATCAACTCCAGACCTGAAGTTAAATAGAAGAAAAATATTTAACAGTCAATCACAGAGCAGGCAAATTTTGTGTAATTTTGTCCAACAATTGCATCCCTAGTTAACCAACAAAGATAACTTGTCTCAGTGCAGAAGAGTAACTGCTAAGAGGATGATAGGGCAGAAAGAACAGGTATACAAGACTGATGATTCCATCATAGTTTGTAGTGGAAAGCGGAAGCAATCTATCAGAACCATGTGGAATCTATATACTAATATTTTGATGGCTTAAAAAATTGTATCGAAAGCAAAGATTCATGGAGCATGATCATATGACATTGAGTGAAACGAACCTGATTCACTTGATCGAGCTTGCTTATAATGTTGAGTCTCACATCGGGAAATTCATCTTTCAAAAGGGAAAGAAAAATTGGAAGAAGCTGCTCTATTGTAGCATCCTGTGATGATAAACAAAATGAACTTAAGAGATGGATTGCATTCCAATTACAAAAGATTACTTCAATTGCAACCAGGAGAAAAGCCCATTCAAGTAAATAGCATTATAAAAAGATCTAGGCCAAATTAGCAAGTCTTTTCAAGAGGAAGATGTGATGGTATCATTGCCTATTGGTCTATATTAATGATCCGACAAGAAAGCCTTTAGAGGAAGAAAAAAAACTTGAAAGTGAAGCTGATACAACTAGGAGCAAAATCTGCGAGTCAAACATGTCCCAACACCACTGAGCTGGCCAGATAAAAAAACAACCATCAAAAAGCTAGATCTGCAACCATGCAGAAAATAACATAACCACATTGTTCAACAGAAAATCATAGCTAGGTTATTACCTTCCCCAGCACAGGGGCCATTCCCATTATCACTGAAGCCAAAGCAGAACGGACGTGCTGGGAAGAATCTGAGGACAGATCCTAGTGGGCAGAGGAAGAAGATATTGTCAACACAATGGCTAGCAAGAGAGTTCGGAGTTCAAAAAGGAGAAGTTTTACTTTTCACAAGAATACCTTCACACAAGGAAGAATGTGTTGAACTGCAAGTTCAGGGTTCAAGATGCGACAGAACTTGGTTACTTTGCCAGCAGCAGCTATACGCACTTCCGCCTCATTATCACGAAGTAACCGTACATATGCCGGTACCAAGTCCGTCCTTAGAAGTACAAAAACTATTTATAAGATATACACAGAGAAAAGGTATTTAAAGCAAAAATACTATTACAGGTAAAAAAAAATAATGTGGGAATGCGATCGTCTCAAGGTAGAAAAAATACTTGGTAGGCTCAGGCCCCACAGCTTCACAAAGTTCATACAATTGATTTGCAACCATGTAGCGAACACGCCATGATTTATCCTGCATGTAGACATAATGATATGAGCACGCGTTAAGACAAAGGAAGAAGAGCATGAAAGGAAATAAACTTGGCAAAACAGGGAATATAGTTTATATTAGCACAAGGTCTAATCATTGTTACAATTTATGTTTGAAAATATCCAATAAAATAGTGAGATACTGAGATTCAATTGAAACAGAACAAAAGCAGTAGTAAACTATGAGATCATGGAAAGCTAGTAGAAACTCAATTGGTTCCATCGGCTTAAAGCCTTCAATGCGATAGAAACTCTCTATCTCAGAATTCTACAAAGATTTCCAATTTCTGGAAAAGAGAACAAGTATAAACAAGTTAAGAAGTCAGAGCCAATTTGCGTTGATGTTTGACCTCTCTCCTTCAAGTGGTTTTCTTTTTCGGTGGGATTGTGCCTCAAGTGTTAGTGGTACTAGTCATGACACCAAGATAAGAACATTTCTAAGCTTATTCAACAAATAAGTAAATCACATCAGTTACATCACCAATCATGCCACTATACCAATTCAAGTTAAGAAGTACAAGTCAATTCAGGTTGATGTTTCCCGTCCTCTGCTTCCTCAAGTGTTGCTAGCCCTAGTCAAGACACTTGGAACAACTAGCTATGCTTAGTCAACGAACGGATAAATCAAAATATCAGCTACATCATCACTGGTGCCACAATATCCTTCACCAAGTAGTCACAAAATACAAAATAAATAGATTGCATACCTGTGAAAAGTTCACAATAACAGGGAGAACATGTGCAATACAATCCTGGGGCTCCAACAGTTTACCAAGAGCAGCACAGCTCTCAACGGCCAACAAACGGACAGAATCTTGATCTGAGATTATCATTGTTATCAGAGTTAAATCGGAGAACATTAACCCTGAGAGTATACAAAGTGTGGGGAGCATGCCCCTAAGAAATATCTGCGTAACAGAAGGTAAATTACCATCTTGGGTAAGATCCTCAAACATTGACATGATATCCGTCTTCAAATGTGCTGCTTCAACAGTTGCAGCAAACTTTCCTAGATTGGTTGCAGCTGCCCTTCTGACCATTGGCATGTCATCTTGACAGAGCTGACTGTATATTGAACGTAATTCAGCCTTTAGCGTATCAGGTGCACTAGGATAAGCAATATGAAATAGCCCACAAGACGAAACACGAGCAGTAAACCATTCTCCAGCAGCCAATCTCTGAAAAAGAAACCACAGAAAGTAATTACAATGGTAACTGAGAGAAAATGCTGACAATGCAAGTTGTACGTAACTGCATAGCAACCAAGCAATACAGTTCATCAGAACCAAGTCACAAACACAACTGAATATATCCATACTTAACAAACCTCCAGCAAAAAGGGATAAATACACTAAGCTTTCAGATATACAATATCGATATAATGAAATGAAGTCAAGGGGAGATATCTGTAGAAAATATCTAAACGTTCAAAATAAATGCAGCCTCACATATCTGAGAAAATTAAGAGCTAAGATTGACAAGAATCTGCTACGGTCTTAACTTTCTTCCGCGTTCTTCTACCTTGATGTCAAATTGAAAACAACTTAAGAAATATAAGTACCTAACCAAGAACACAAACAAGAAACACTAGAAAGAAGCTGGAAAGTTAAGGCAAAACCAAGCCGCCATATAAATGCAGACTTATTAGAGAACAATTGTTGTCCTCAACAGAACAGGCAAGGAAGACAAGACGGAATAGACAACTTATGAAACAGCAGTCAACTGCGTAATCAAATTAACTTTTTCAACAACCTCGTTCTCACCTTGACAAGAGGAATAAACCAGTCAACCAAATCACTTTCCCTCATTTGAGATCCAATCCTACACAACGACTCCACAGCTTTGTCTCTCACACATGTCTCCTCAACAGTGCATAGTGTCTCCAAAGGTGGCAGCAAGACATGGGCATGCTCCACTCCACCAACATATGGAATAAACACTCCCAGCTCTTCAGCCATAGCAAGGAGGACCTCGTCGTCATCATCATTGTTTTCACTCAGGAAAGGAATCAACTCCTTACGGGTTCGCTCCTCGCCAAGAGCACGTGCAATTGTTGACAATCTACGGATTGAATTAAGTCGTAACTGGATGTCATCATTCTTCAGCTCGTCTATGAGGACGGCGATAGGGTATAATGGTTCATCAACCATGGCCATTGTAACTCCAATTTCTATTCAAAGAAACTACAATGCAAGAGTACACAAATCAACAACGGTCACCGAGATACTCAGATACATGACTGCATAAACAAAAGTTCACATTTTTCTACCAATCTATCCGTCCACCCATGGTCAAGTCAGGCACAAAATATGCAAAACATAATATATATGCAAGACAGAAGCAAGAACAAACAAGTCACAAAGAAGCAGACGCTATTATGTAACAGGTTAACTAATTAGATAAGAAGTATGCATGTCTCAACTCACAAATCTCGTCAATTCCCTAATCCCTACAACTGTCTCGCCAAAATCTAGGGATCCACAACAAAGATATAAATTCAAATCCAACCCCAGAAATTTCAAGAACGGACAGAAGAGACGGGGAGAATGAAGGAAAAATATGCTGGACGAGAGAGCTCGCAGCTTAAAAATGGCAGTGACCTCGATCGAAAACTAAGAAATTCGAATCTTGCTTCGATTTTGCCCCATTTTCTCAGAAAACAAACAGAAGAATTGGGAAGCTTGAGTGACCTAAGAGAGAGTCACTTGCTAGGATGCATACAAATCCGAACGACAAGAAGCGTAGCTGCTCTTACCGATCCAAATGAGTCACCGCCGGCCACCTTGCCGTTCACAGAAAGCTAGCGCGAGACGAGGAAGATTTATGAATCTCTTCTCTTTGTTTTGATTGTAAATCTCCGACCCTTCTATTCTGTTTCTTGTTCACAGTTTTCATTTCCTTTTCTTTGATTTTTCAACAGTTTAAGTCAGAGAGGAGTGAAGCCCATTGAGCCCGAAAATACAAAAGCGATGGGCCCATCGACTCGCCCATTTTGGATTCAACATTGATCCGCCCGTTCTTGCTTTCAACATTTGTCACAAAACTTTCAAAGAGTTCACTCCAATGTAAAGCTAATTAGGTAGTAGTTTGCTTGATATTAGAGCGATATACAACGGATTACGCTAGACCGATGCGAAACAATGAGAATCGCGACTACTAAATGCAAACTCCCTGTAGTCGATAGTTTCTTTTTCCTAACGACACTCTTGATTTTCCTCTTTTTCTTTTCCCCACCGCTGCCACCATGCAATTATGCATATACCACATGAAGCTATCTTCTTCATGGACTAGGTAGATGATGGCATTCTCAGAAGCGGCTGAGTTGAGGATGCAACGCTTGACGAACTCCGGTCCATCAATAACTGATCGTTGGTGTTTGCAGACGAAGCGAAACTTGACAAGTTAGCTAAGCGAAATTCAATAGGCTAGGGACGTATGTTAGAATGCAACCATCACCAACATGATAAAGAGAGTTTGACAACTCAACAAGTCACAGCCTAAGTACCTCCTTAAGTCCGAAGTGGCTTGAATTGCTAGCCTACTGCATATCAGTCCTAGACTCCTAGTAGAGTTAGGGTGTTCTTAGAGAAGAAAACTCTAGACTTCTCTCTACTCACCAGCTCCCCAGAGGCAGAGCAAAAGCGCTCAAGGCAAGACATCAAAATATCATCATGCTTAAGGTTGGCATCAGCAAACAAAACGAGATCATCGACGAAAAACAAATGAGAGAGATCAGGGCCATCAACAAAGAGTCCCATGGATTTCCAATTCCCACTTTTCACTTCATGTAAGATACAATGACTTGGTCTCTCGATGCAGAGCCTAAAAAGATAGGGGGAAAGAGGATAACATTATCTCAGACCTCGTGATGGAAGAAAGCTTTCGATTTCCCTTCCATTCCATAACACTTGCAATTTGCAAACTTGTTGTAACACAAACCCTTACATGAAAGAGATTTTTTATCACTATAGACCGCGTATGTATTTTACAAAAAAAAATTTGTCATACACTTTTGTTGGAACTTAGGGGTCGTTTGCTTGTTGGATTTGAAAAATGAAGGTTTTGTGCAACAAAAACCTAGGGATTCATGAGGGATTTATTGTATTATGGATTTGAAAAGTCTAGTGTTTGCATGATAGAATTGATAATGAATTTATGATGGATTTGTCACATAAGCAACTAACAACCATCATGGATTTACAAATCCCAAACAAATATGTGGGATTTACAAGTCCGTGGGGTCCACGGATTTGGTCCCAAATTAAAGACCAAATCCGTGGACCCCACGGATTTGACACCCATCAACAAACAATGGACTTGTGTTAAATCCATCAAACTTGGGATTTAGGTACCAAATCCATGACCCAAATCCAACAAGCAAACGACCCCTTAAATTAGATATTTTCTTAATCAAGAACTTTTTTTAATTTAGATTTTGAAAAAAGATCTTCCTATATAAAATTTCCCGCCACAGTATATAATAAACTTCAACAAGCAATAATAATAATTTAATTTCCAATAAACACCAGACGTTTGGACAAGACAACATATAGTACTGGAACTATTTAAGGGAATCTGAATAAAAATTCTACATGTACAAAACTCCAAGGAGTTAGAGATGAAGCTTTGATTCTATTACCAGTTCGTCCAGTTGCAAAAAGGCCGAGCCTCATTCGCATCAGATATTAGGTTACAACATTACATTTCCATGTTTGCTACCCAGCATATTGAAAGGGCAAAGTTAATACAACTCAAATACAGAAGAATTGCACAACAATCAAATCAACTGTAAAACATCGACGAGGAAGACAGAAATAAACTATTTGCAGCTGTAAAAACCTATTGGCGCATATCTAGCCTGAGATCATGGCGTTGTCGATCGCATGAAGGGCTTCATTCGCGAAGAAACGCACGTCTACATCTGGATCTTCACTCAGTTCCACTAAAGCAGGACGAATAGACTTCTCCACCACCTGCAAAAATTGAGGTTTTCACTGACAGTTCAATAAAATGAAAGGCCAGAGGTTGCAGAATGGGGATACGGCTGACTAAACTTACAGACTGATCAACTATTGGAATGAGGGACTGCAGCACTTTCGCGACATTAAACTTGATGTTGGGTACCCTGAAGAAAAGATTCGATAATCAGAAAACCACAGACCTTGCGGAAGACCATATATTATAAAAGGGCGGGAATTTCGAATCAGGATAACTGATACCTGTCCTTGGCTGCATTGACAACCGGAGGCAGTAGTTTCGAACACGTAATCTCAGCGCCCATCACTGGAGCAAGAAGAGAAGTGGCCCGAAGAATGGTCATCCTGTATAAGTAGTGCGGGTTGTTGAACATCTCCAGGACCTACGGCAAGGTAAATGCCAATGTCAAATTGCATTGAGGAAATTACCAACAAAAAACACAGCAACAAAAGGGAGAGAAGTATAGGTAAAGTGGTGCCTATAGGCAGACAGCCATTGGAGTGATACATACCGGCAACAATAACAGCCTAAATGTATCACTTGTACATACCAACTAACAATGCAATCCCTTCAAAACAGAAAAGGGCACAATGGAATATGGAAGAAACTAGATAAACCAGTATTGTTCGTAACCGAACAGAGAAAGGGAAGACTAACCTGTGGGATTATGTGCTGCATTGCCCAATCAGGACCAAATTCTTCAGCAAGGCGCTTCAAATTATTAGCAGCAGCATCACGAATTGAATAAACCTGCAGTAAACCGATGGGATGGGCGTGAGTTAGCATTCAAAAGAATGAATAATTGCAGTCCTTAAGACAATAAGTACAACCTATCCATGAATCAAATAGGGCTAACTGGCTTATCTAATAGTGAGAATCGGGCTTTCAGCAAGATAAGCAAGGATTCCATGTTAATGACTGAAAAGTCAAATTCCAAGGGGGAAAATTAACCATGGAACATAATAATAACGAAGATAGCACTGCCAAAATCCACGTATCGCCTAGCATAATACACGACCAAAACGGAGATTTATTGTATCTAATCTAATAGATGTTCACATGATTGTAAAATCAATACCTTGTCCTGCAACCACTGCATGCAAAGACTCCCAAGCTTATCATCAAAGAAACCAACACCCAGTTGGCTTGCCAGTAGGGGTATGTACTCTATGATTGCGAGCCTAACCCTCCAGTGTCTATCCTCAGCAAGCTCAACAATTGCTGGTAATAGAGACTGGGACAGAAGATCAATTCCAATAACCTACAAACACACCACATGATGTCAATGCATTAGGCTAAAATGGAGACATTTCAACAAATGCCGAAGAGAAAGACAGAAATACAAGCGGATATCAACTCCTGATATGAAGATAAACAGAGGAAAAATATCTAACAGTCAATAACAGAGCAGACAAACTTTGTATGATTTAATCCAACAGTTGCATCCCAAATAAACCAAACTAAGATGACTTGTCTCAGTGCAGAAGAGTAACTGCTAAGAAGATAATAGGGCAGAAAAAACAGGTACACTACTATTTTGATGACTTAAAAAAACCATATCGAAAGCAAAGATTCATGGAACATGACCATATGACATTGAGTGAAACAAACCTGATTCACTTGATCGAGCTTGCTTATAATGTTGAGTCGCACATCAGGAAATTCATCTTTCAAAAGGGAAAGAAAAATTGGAAGAAGCTGCTCTATCGTAGCATCCTGTGATGATAAACAAAATGGATTTGAGAGATGGATTGCATTCCCGCTACAAAAGATTACTTCATTTGAAACCAGGACTAAGTGAAGCACATTCAAGTAAATAGCATTATAAAAAGATCTAAGCCAAATCAGCAAGTCTTTTCAAGAGGAAAATCTAATGGTATCATTGCCTATTGGTCCATATTTTAATCCAAAAAGAAAGGCTTTAAAGAAAGAAGAAAAAAAGAGAGCTTGAAAGTGAAACTGATACAACTAGGAGCTAAATATGTGCGAGTCAAACTTGTCCCAATACCACTGGGTTGGTCAGAAAACTTAGTTGCTGCAAGAACTAGATAAAAAAAAAAACAACCATAAAAAAGCCAGATCTGCAACCATGCAGAAAATAGCATAAACAAATTGTTCAACAGAAAATCATAGCTAGATTATTACCTTCCCCAGCACAGGGGCCATTCCCATTATCACTGAAGCCAAAGCAGAACGGACGTGCTGGGAAGAATCTGAGGACAGTTCCTGATGGACAGAGGAAGATGTTGTCAACGCAATTACTAGAAAGAAGTTCTGAGTTAGAAAAGGAGAAGTTTAATTTTTCACAAGAATACCTTCACACAAGGAAGAATGTGCTGAACTGCGAGTTCAGGGTTCAAGATGCGACAGAACTTGGTTACTTTGCCAGCAGCAGCTATACGCACTTCCGCCTCATTATCACGAAGTAACCGAACATATGCCGGAACCAAGTCCGTCCTTAGAAGTAAGAAAGTTATTTATAAGATATACACAGAGAAAAAGTACCTAAAGCAAAAATAATTAGCCGTAAAAAATAATGTGGCAATGCGATCGCCTCAAGTTAGGAAAATACTTGGTAGGCTCAGGCCCCACAGCTTCACAAAGTTCATACAATTGATTTGCAACCATGTAGCGAACACGCCATGATTTATCCTGCATGTAGACATAATGATATGTGCAAGCATTAAGACAAAGTAAGAAGAGCATGAAAGGAAATAAACATAGCAAAACTGGGAATATAGTTTATATTAGCACAAGCTCTAATCAATGTTAATATTGTTGTTTAATATATATCCAATAGAACAATGAGATTCAATTGAAACAGAACCAAAGCAGTAGTAAACTATGAGAAGGAGATCATGGCAAGCTACTAGGAACTCAATTGGTTCCATCAGCTTAAAGCCTTCAATGTAATAGTAGTTCTCTATCTCATAAAGATTTCGAATTTCTGGATAACAGAACAAGTATAAACAAGTTAAAAAGTCAAAGTCAATTGAAGTTGATGTCCAACCACTCTCCCTAAGCCTAAAGGGGTTTTCTTTTTCAGCGGGACTCTCCCTCAAGTGTTGGTGGTACTAGTAATGACACAAAGATAAGAACATTTCTAAGCCTATTCAACAAATAAATAAATCAAAACATCAGTTACATCACCACTCATGCCACTATAGCTATTCAAGTTAAGAAGTAAAGTCAATTCAGGTTGATGTTTCTTGTCCACTGTTACCCCAGGTGTTGCAAACCATAGTCAAGACACTTGGAACAATGATCTATGCTTAGTCAATTAATGAATAAATCAGAACATCAGTTACATCACCAATAGTGCCATTATATCCTTCATCAAGTAGTAGCAAAATATAAAATTAATATGAGTTCATACCTGTGAAAAGTTTACAATAACAGGGAGAACATGTGCAATACAATCCTGGGGCTCCAACAGTTTACCAAGAGCAGCACAGCTCTCAACAGCCAACAAACGAACAGAATCTTGATCTGTGAGTAATCATTGTTATCAGAATTAAATCAGAACTAAATCAAGAAGAGCATTATAGTTGGCAAAGTATTAGTTGTTTGTGCACACCCCGACAGGCAAAAGAGAGACTAAGAAATATCGTAGCAGAAGGTAAATTACCATCTTGGGTAAGATCCTCAAACATTGACATGATGCCCGTCTTCAAATGTGCTGCTTCAACAGTTGCAGCAAACTTTCCTAGATTGGTTGCAGCCGCCCTTCTGACCATTGGCATGTCATCTTGACAGAGCTGACTGTATATTGAACGTAATTCAGCCTTTATTGTATCAAGTGCACTAGGATAAGCAATATGAAATAGCCCACAAGATGAAACACGAGCCGTAAACCATTCTCCAGCTGCCAATCTCTGAAAAAGAGACCACAGAAAGTAATTAAAATGGTACCTGATAAAATGTTCACAATGTGAGTGGTACACACCAGCATAGCAACCAAGCAATACAGTTCATCGGAACCAAGTCACAAACAAAACTGAATACATCCAAAACTTAACTAAACTCCAGCAAAAGGGAGAAATACGCTAAGCTTTCCAGATATACAAGATAAATATAATGAAATGAAGTCAATGGGACATATCTTTAGGGAATATCTAAAAGTTCGAAATAAATTCAGCCGCACATATCTGAGAAAATTAGGAGCTAAGATTTATAAGAATCTGCTCTGGTCTAAACTTTCTTCTGAGTGCTTCTACCTTGATGTCAGAGTGAAAGCAACTTAAGAAATATAAGTACCTAACCCAGAGCAGTGTAGACAAGCATTGCTCTTTGTTAGTAGCACAATACAGGTAGAATCACTTAACAACGAAGAAAACAAACAAGAAACACAAGAAAGAAGCTGGAAAGTTAAAGCAAAACCACGCAGCCATGTAAATATAGACTTATTAGAGAACAATCGGTGTCCTCAACAGAACAAGCAAGGAAGACAAAAAGGAAAATACAACTTATGAAACAGCATTCAACTGCGTAATCAAATTAACCTTTTCAGGAACCTCGTTCTCACCTTGACAAGAGGAATAAACCAGTCAACCAAATCACTTTCCCTCATTTGAGATCCAATCCTACACAACGACTCTACAGCTTTGTCTCTCACACATGTCTCCTCAACGGTGCATAGTGTCTCCAAAGGTGGCAGCAAGACATGGGCATGCTCCACTCCACCAACATATGGAATAAACACTCCCAGCTCTTCAGCCATTGCAAGGAGGACCTCGTCGTCATCATCATTATTTTCACTCAGGAAAGGAATCAACTCCTTACGGGTTCGCTCCTCGCCAAGAGCACGTGCAATTGTTGACAATCTACGGATTGAATTAAGTCGTAACTGGATGTCATCATTCTTCAGCTCGTCTATGAGGACGGCAATGGGGTATAATGGTTCATCTACCATGGCCATTGTATCTCCAATTTCTATTCAAAGAAACTACAATGCAAGAGTACACAAATCAACAACGGTCACCGAGATACATGACTTCATACACAAAAGTTCACATTTTTCTACCAATCTATCCGTCCACCCATGGTCAAGTCAGGCACAAAATATGCAAAACATAATACAATTGCAAGATAGAAGCAAGAACAAATAAGTCACAAAGAAGCAGACTATATTATGTAACAGCTTAACCAATTAGATTAGAAGTATGCATGTCTTACCTCACAAATCTCGTCAATTCCCTAATTTCTACAACTATCTCACCAAAATCTAGGGATCCATAACAAAGATATAAATCCAACTCGAAGCCCAGAAATTTAATGAACGGACAGATAGACGGGGAGAAGAGAGGAAAAATATGCTGGACGAGAGAGCTCGCAGCTTAAAAATGGCAGCGACCTCAATCAAAAACTAAGAAAATCTTGCTTCGATTTTACCCCATTTTCTCAGAAAACGAACAGAAGAATTGGAAACCTTGAGTGACCTAAAAGAGGGTAACTTGCTAGGAAGCATACAAATCCGAACGAGAAGAAGGGTAGCTGCTCTTACCGATCCAAATGAGTCACCGCCGGCCACCTTGCCGTTTACAGAAAGCTAGCGCGAGACGAGAAGGATTTATGAATCTCTTCTCTTGTTTTGATTGTAAATCTCCGACCTTCTATTCTGTTTCTTTCTTGTTCACAGTTTTCATTTCCCCTCTTTGATTTTTTCCCATGGATTAAACAACCGAACCACCGGTTCGACCAAAAAAATGTACTACTAGAAGCAAAACTAATAGGCTATATTAGTGATATGAAACAATTGAACCACGATTAAACAATGATTTTAGCATTAAGTATCATTCTGCTGATTTTTCGGGGTTCCAGTTTTTAATCGTTGATTTTTCCACCGTTTAAGTCAGAGAGGAGCGAGCCCATTGTATTTAAGCCCGAAAATTGAAAAGCGATGAGCCCATCGACTAGCCCATTTTGAATACAAAATTGACCTCCCAGGGGTTGTTTGGAGGTTGAGATTCTCCAAATTGAAGTATTTAATCAATTTGTGTATTGTAATTTGATGTATTGATTAAATGTATGAATTTGAAAAATACATTGTTTGGAGGTTTACATTGTGCTTTGTTATAAATGAAAAAAATAGAGGGTAGACAATGCCTTGGTCACAATCTCACCTTTTGGTAGAGATTGATAATCACTCATTTTGAGTGATTGTGGGTGGGCCTAGAAAAATGTAATACATGTATTCTGTCACAAATATAACCAAAAAATGACTTAATCTTGGATTCAACTTTCAACATTCTCAACAATACAACACTTACGAAGAAAAAAAATCCAAAATACAAGAGTTTGGAGCAGTTCGTTCCAGTGTCCAACAAATTAGATATTGGTTCGCTTGATATTGGAGCTATCTACGACGAATCGCGCTAGACCGACGTGAACCAATGTGGTTCGCGCCTATCAAACGCGGACTCCCTCGTGCAGCAAATCTCTTTTGCCCACCTCTAACTTGATATTGGAGAGATATACAGCGGATCATGCCAAAATGATGCAAAAAATGTGGATCGGGGCTACCAAATGCGAACTCCCTCTAGCCAATACTCGCTTTTTCTCGCAGCAGCTCTCTACTTCCCTCTCTAAAATGATAAGAAGAGAAAGGCGCTTACGGTGAGAAGGAAAGGAATTTAGTTGTGTAACTCCTTTAAATATAGGATTTGTCTATGAATAATAATACGAGAAGATTGAAATCAAATTTATGTTCTTGATTTATTATTCAATTTAGTAGTTTCATATTATTTTGGTGTAGTTCTCGCGATTAAGGAGATAATCTACTCGGGTGCGTCGACCAACATATTCAAAAGTCCATATAAGAAAAAAATCCACGTAACATGGGTAGATGACGGCGTCCCCGAAAGCGGTTGATTTGCAGATGCATTGTTTGACAAACTCCGGCCAACCAATTACTGACCATTAGTGCTTGTAGACAAAGCGGAACTTGAGGAGCGAGCGTACCGGAAGGCAGAGGAGGATATTGCCGGTGATATCATCGGGAAGCCAGTCGATAACCATAGCTACAAGAATAGAGACACAAATTCGGAGGAAAAAGTTATAGGTAGCTGGGGTGGTTGTCCATGTAGAATATCAGCCTCAAAGGCCTTTGTATGTCGATGTGCTCTTTATATGTCGGCGTAGTATGTTGCGGCTACTTTACTTGTCAACCATAACCGAGAGTCCTTGTCACTATTGTCCTAGGTTTCCTTGTTTATTGTCGAGTAAGGAAACTTGTCACAACGGTTTTTACTCTAGTCTATATATACTTAGATGTCGTCCTCCTTGTTGTAGCAAGTCATCGTCAATAGTCATTAAAAATATCTTAGTCTATGAGCTCTTTCCAGCTCACCGTGGATTAGTTATGTTCACACTGAAAAGGGATACCACGTAAAACTCTTGTGTCGTGTGTTTGTGCTTCTTCTGCGTTTAGATTTCTACATGGTATTAGATATGGAATTCTCTTTCTATGGCTTGATTTTCGGCTTCTCGTTCTCGTCTTCCTGGTGCGAACCGCTTCATCATGTTCGACGGAGAGTCTCCACAAACAGTGGAAAGGCGCACGCCGTTCCTCAGGCTTCATCAGGGACTACAGTATAGTGACACAAGTAATAAATATCGAATCCACGGGTCTCTAGAGTTACTATTACTCAGCTTCAGTTCATTATCTAGCAAACTAGATTAAGGATTGATTTACCAAACTACTATACTAACTACTCTACTAATTACAGGTTGGAAAATCACTTAGGTATGATTCCCCCTAGCTCCTCAACTAGGTCCAAGTTGTAATTACCTTTGGTTGTTTTACTATTGATTAGACTGCAGAAGATCCGAAATTAGCTTAGAATCTCTTAAGGTGACCAAGCCCTCTTAGACAGAATGCCTGACAGGCGACTAGCCTTCACCAGGATAGACTGCTAAGGCGATTCACACAGATCTCATCTACTTGGAACGGATTCCAGTACAGAGCAGTGAATTAACCGACTCTCGTACAATCAATTCCCTACTACCAATTAAGAAAGCTCTCTTAACCCAATCAGATTCTATCTATCATAGGTTAAAGGAGAAATCAAAGGAAACTGATCAGGATTCAATTGACTCAACAATCATGCCTCAATTGATTAAAACCATTCAGTATAACATCCAAAGTTTCAAACAAGAAAGATCCTAACACATGAAACTAGGGTTCCTCAAAACCTAAGTGAATGGAAGTTACTCCATAGAGAAGAGAGAGATTACAGTATAACTTTCCAGATCTTCAATCTCCATGTCTAGACTTGTTTTTTGAGCTTCAATGTTGAAGAATCCTCCAAAATAGCTCCAAGAATGGCTCTAGATCGCCCTCTCTCTCTTTTGTTCGCCCCTTGGGTGTTTGGGATCCAAAACCCAGCTCCCCCTCTCTAAAAATCGCAAAACAGCTTTTATACCTGCTGAGATTCGCACCCCCTACTTGCACGGTCATGCAAATTGGGGTTTTGGTCGTGCAAACCTCCTGAAAAACTCACACGGCCGTGCATAATATTACCAGTGGCATAGCCAGGATTTTATTTAAGGGGGTGCCATAAAAAAATATATATGCGGTCTCGTGTTTTATATTGCGAAATTATTCTATAACTATATGAATCGGCCAAACTATCAAGATTTCACACTTAATATATCCCACCGAATAACCATTCACTGATTTAGTTCACTAGGTGCGAAGGCTTATCAATCGTTTCATAGCATTAAATGTTATCTACTTGTGAATCGATAAATGATAGTAGCAAATCAAATTTATTTTCACAAGCAAATACATTGATAGAAACTAATTTTCATGTAGAAATTAGTAGATGAAATTAATTTATTAGTTTGTTGTGATTTAACGGTAAAAGATTTGACGATTGACATTGAAATTTAGGATTTAAATATAATCATTAGCTAACTAATACTACTAATATTTTGTTCTTTCTCCAAATCTAAGGGGTGCCATGACACCCCCTTATTACACTCTAACTACGCCCCTGAATATTACACTGTCGTGCACAATTTCCAGCATGCACTCCTAAATTTCGTTGAGGTCATTTGACCTCCGGTTCAGGTGTCGTTTGATCCTAGATGCTCGTAGTCTCATCCTCTTTCTTTTCATGACAAGATTACATGATTCTTTGGCAATAAAATGAGGTAGAAATCCATTCTTCCTCAAGTCATTCCCGAGTTCCCCGCCCCCCCCCCCCCCGAGTCTCCAATTGATCTCCGATTGACTTGAAACTTGCGCCTAGACTTCACTTTATGTGCTAGGACCTGAAATGTGACAAATGAACACAAACTAGCATAAGATAGGCCAAGAAAGTACAAACTCAAGGCAAAACGATCAAGAAACGAGTGTGCAAACATGTGCAAATACGACGTTATTAGTGGCCACCCCCTGGATCCGCCACTGGTCCGGTTAAATTGGCCCAAATTGATTCGGTCCTGGATCGGTCTTTTCGAGACTACAAGGACCAAAGATTGGATTGGATACAGTCCAGTCTTGATCCGGTCCTGTCCCAATTTGATCTTGATTTTAGTTTGACCTTGTGGAGATTTGAGTGCCATAATGCCTCAAAGGGTGAGGAGTTGGTTAAGTTTTGAACTTTTGGGTGTCAGGCTCTCTTATCCGGTCTTTATCCGGTTTTTCGGTCAGGTTCCAAATGGTTTTTTACCTCAAATCTAAGCCCGATCCGATCTCGGTCCGGTTTCGGATAAAACCAAAAAGTCCGGACCAAATAGCCACCCCTAGTATGCGGTCAACATACTAAGTCAGGCCGTCCATGCCCCAACTCAGGTGCACGTTGATGCCTCGGTGCGCGTCCTTCGATATTTGGAACATTCCCTAGGTCGTGGTCTCTTCTTCCCATCTCATAATCTGCTCCATCTTGAAGCTTATTGTGGCGCTAATTGAGGTGGTTGTCCTACCACTCGTCGGTCGACTATAAGATATTTTATTCGTCTTAGAGGTGCTCTTGTTTCATGGCGAACTAAGAAATAGTCTGTCGTTGCACGATCCTCGGCCGAGGCCGAATATTGGGCCATGGACGCCACTGTCAGCTAGGTCATTTGGCTACGATGGTTACTTTATAAGTTGGGTCACTCCCCGTCATCTGCCACGCCATTGTATTGCGATAGTCAGGCAGCTCTGCATATTTCTGCTAGTCGTGTGTTTCATGAGCGTACTAATTACGTAGAGATGGATTGTTATTTTTGTTCGTGGGCATGTTCTCTCTGCGAACATCTTGTCTTCTAAGATTGCTACTCAGGACCAACCAACGGACTTGCTCACAAAAGGTCTAAGCTCGAATAAGTTTGCATATCTTCTTTCCAAGATCGGCATGCTTGACATCCATACTTCGCTTGAGGGGGAGTGTTGCGGTTACTTTACTTGTCAACCAAGTAACCGAGAGTCCTTGTCATTATTGTCCTAGGTTCCCTTGTTAATTGTCCAGTAAGGAAACTTGTCACAAGGGTTTTTACCGTAGTCTATATATACTTAGTTGTCGTCCTCCTTGTGGTAGCAAGTCATCGTCAATAGTCGTCAATAATATCTCAGTCTTTGAGCTCTTTCGAGCTCACCGTGGATTAGTCATGTTCACACCGAACAGGGGTACCATATAAAACTCTTGTGTCGTGCGTGCTTCTTCCGCGTTTGAATTTCAACATAGTACATAAAGATAAATACAATAACAGGGGAGATTATTACAAGAGATTATACAGTCGCAAAATATGAAGATAAGTGCATGAATTATCTTGGGTGAACATAAGAGATTACCGAAGGACCATTCATCCTTATCAATCCACACAAATCGGGAACGACGTCATCTACGTAGCTAACTCACGTCGACGTGCATGTCAAACTGAATAGGTGAGGTGCGCGGTCAATGCTTTAGTGAACAACAATTTTGACAGATGATGAGGCCGGAACGATGAGGAGCAACTCTTTTAAACACTACCATTATCAGTGAAACTACTTAAACATGAAAGCATCTTTTAAGCCTAGTCCAGAATCCAGGATCTGCCACATTCCCACCAAACTGCTCTTCTTTGAACCTCGCCTTCTCACCAAGCTCCTGAAGCCTGGCCACAAACTCAATCAACAAAGAAGAAAACGTTGCCAGAGACAGCGAGCTAGCACTCTCGTACACCTTCGAATCCTGCTCCAAAACAGGCGCCGGCCCGCCCACAAAAAAAACTCTCGGCCACGACAACGGCGGCTGCTGGATGCTCTCCGACGACAACGACGTCCATTCGCGCAGGCTGCTGCTCCTGCTCGCAATAATGTTGGTGTTGTCATCTTTTGCATGATCTTGATGCTGGTTCTCGAATTTCTTGGGTTGTTTCCCGCTTGCTGCCCAGCTTTCTGAGTTGACCAAAAGGTAGGATTTGAGGTCTACTTTGGTTTGGAGTTCTTCTGCTGCCTCGCGGACTGGGAGTAGTAGGTCTACTCCTGGGCTCAGCTTCTCCATTTTCTCTAGTTTGGTTCCGAGTTCGTGGAGTACTTTGGCTCCTTCGTTTCCTACTCTTTGTAGCTCGCTGGCGAAGACCTGTCTCTTTTTTGGTGGTGCCTAGAACCATGAAGAAAAATGTGGAGTTAACGAATTAGGGCACACGTATAATTACGAGCTGAAAAGTAGAGCCGTTAATGAGTCAAGTTATTCGCGAGCGAGCGGCAGGTTCGGTGTTCAATTCGATAATAGCTCGTTTGATTTAAGAAAAGTTCAATTCGTTTATTAATGAGCCAACTCGACTACGGCGTGTGAGAAAATCGATTTATATCTTATTAGTTGGTTTGATAATGATGCATAGATTTATTAGATTGTTTCTATCTCGCCTCATATGATGTTTAATACTTTGAGTATGTGAGCAAATATGTCTCATATATGTAATGAGGTGAGTTAATCACATGTATCATATATGACATATAAATATTAGGGTATTTAATTTATAAATTATCTTAGAGTTGAGTTCGAGCCAAACTTTTGATTTTAATGATGAGCCAAGATTTAATAATGAGTTGACTCGTGTTCGACTCGACTCAACTCGTTCATAAACGAGCAGAACTTGAACAAGGCAAAACTCGATTCGGGTTGACTCATTAACAACCCTATTGAAAAGCAAAGGAATTTTGTACGTACCTGAATTTCAGAAAGAATGCATCCATGCATAGCCATGACCATGAAAGCACAATGCCTTAAAGCTCCACTTAGTTTCATGTAATTTTTCCACGGGTAACAAAAGAAACCATAACGACCATGTGGTGGCTCCCATATAGCAAACCCTAGCTGCACAAAAAAAAATGTAAATTTGAACATTTATTTATGTTACTATTTATAGGTGGTTATATCGTATCTTGAATAAAATCAAATGTATAACATAACTTGAGTAAAAAAATGATATCTAAACCTTGAATCGACCGAAGTTTGACATCTGGTACTATTCCCAAACCCTTAAAAATTAAAATCTAGCTCTTAATTCTACAAATATCATACACTAAGATCAATTTAATTGGATTAAAAAATTGACGGTTATGATTCGCCGAAATATATGCCACAAATTACATGCACAATCTTAGGGGGTTATGCTCTATGATTTAGATAACTAATACCTAGGGTTCACTTATCAAGGGTTAGGGTATAGTATCATATGCCCAAATATTCGGTTAATTCGATGTCTAAATAACGTTTTCTTACTCAGAATATGTCATACTCTAGATTTTACTCAAAGTACAATAGAAGTCACCGTGTATACTCAAACATTACTGCTTTGCATACCAATGCTTCCTCTTGACTGGTGGATTGCACTGCAGATCTATACCCACTGTACACAGGGTCATCAGAGCCTTGGTATACCCGAAGGGATCCTCTCGTACTCCAAGCACTGCAAGTAACCATTCACACAGCCTTCCAACGAAGCAGCCACGCCTCTGAAATTCTTCACCACCAACTTGTGGAGATCCTCGCCCGCCCAAATCGGGTATGTATATGCATATGTTCACAAGCAAACAGACACCCGCACCGGTGCCAATCAACAGAAACCGGAAAATCGCAGTTCGAAAGAAGGACGAATCGATTCCAGATGCCAGCACTATGCAATATGTTAGCAGGAACACTCGGAATCCGTACTCGTATTGTTTTATGGGTGGATATAGTTTCGCATAGCTCGCGCAGAATCCTGCAATGAAGATGATGATTATGATAGCTACTATACTTCCTGATACTTGCCGAAATACACAGACAGCTCTGCATTTCCTAGGGCAAGCGCCCCGGCTGAAAATGTGCCAAGGCCACGGTTCAATCCTTTGCTCAATGTGCCGCCTGAAAATACAATAAAATCATGTATTTAGCAACAAAAAGAGAGAGAGAGAGGCAAAATGAGATTAAGAGTGTTTATCCCACTTAACTACAACCGAACTTTGGTTTGGGCGTCACAAATATCTAAAATATCCCTAATAATTTCACTTTAGAATTTTCTGTTCTTTTTGTATAGCCAAATAATTCTAATAATTTCACTATGATGAGACCCAAAGAAATAAAACAGGAGACAAAACTGACATTTTCCCTCTCATTTGTCGATGTCAGGTCGTCTAAATCTCAGTTCAACCATGATTGCCAATTTTTTTTCCAATCGAAATTTTAACAGAAAGACATGTTTGATAACTTTTTCAAAGTACATGGACATGTTTGATGTGAAAAATAATAGAGGGGCATATTTGATAAAACCAAATAGTAGAAGGGCATATTATTCCTATAACCTTTTTAAAAACAAAAATAGTAATTTTTTTTATTAATATTATTATTGGTTTACAGATTAATTATTTAATTATGAGTTAAAAAATGACATGGCATTTACATGGCTGCCACATTTTTACCACGTCAGCAAAAGTCAATGACAAGTTGACCAACGTCAACCGTTATCTATAATGGTTAACGAAATCGCCGGGACATAAGTGGCACACAACTATAATAACTTGAGACATAAATGACATAGGATAGTTCGGGTTTCCTACTGGTATTAGCCCTTATAATTTTACATAATGATACACATACTATAACAAGATAATAAATTGTAATTTGTTTGGTTTTGGTAGCTTGCAATTTACACAATTTCTCGTAACTTAAGAAGAAGAAAAAAAGAGCAAGAGGCAAAATAAGCTTAAGAGTGTTCGTCCCTCTTACCTACAGTGAACTCAAAGACCACTACGACGGTGATAATCGCCCATATGGAATACTGGCTGACATCGTTCAAGTGTCTTCTCAGGATCATCAGCATGGAAACCGTGGCCAGAGGGAGACCCATTTTAATCGCGAAGAACACCTTCCTCGGATCCGTACTCCCCATTTTGTAAAGATCGGCGAAAACTCGAGGGACCCCATTGCAAAATCCGACGATCCTATCGGAAAGTGATCGGAAACACCCACACTTGACATCGGAACTACTGCCGCCTTCATCATCCTCGTATTGGGAGTTGTTGAACCCGAATTCAGAGTACCCTTTCCGAGACAACAACCTCTCTTTGCTCTTTGCCTCAAAATTTTCTTGCTTGACTGAATCGATTCCTCTAGTAGAGGCCATCACTTGTTTGGGGAGAGAACTCTTATTTTTGGCTTGCTATTTGCCGCCAAAAAAATTGCTATTTGGCGCCAACTAAAAAAAAAAAGAGTATATATGTACATCTTTGGTTAAGAAGTTTCACAATCTACAACATATTCAACTTTCAGAAAACGTATTGAATCAGAAAAAATCGACGCTCGCCGGAAAAGTCGCCGTAAAACCATCTGGAAAGCCCATCCTCGACGTAAACTGCGGACACGCATCCATGAATCATCACTAAGCAGGTGCGTCAATTTTTTTGTAGTTTCGAACAATTTTTCCGACGATTTGCAACGAACAGAGGGTGGGCCGAAAATTTCCGACGGCCGGAACCTGGCCGGGCCGATTTACACAATATCATACTTAGATGCGCACTAATTAATTAAATTTCTATTAACTAATGTACTATTAATATTAATTGTTAATTAGTCACAAATTTACACAATATCATACTTAGATGCGGACTAATTAATTAAATTTCTATTAACTAATGTACTATTAACATTAATTGTTAATTAATCACAAATTAATTAATATCATACTTAGATGCGCACTAATTAATTAAATTTTTATTAACTAATGTACAATTAACATTAATTGTTAATTAATCACTAATTAATTAATTTTCTATTAACTAATGTACTATTAACATTAATTGTTAAACCAATTCTTAATTAATTAATTTTCTATTAACTAATCTAAGTAATTAAACATTCATACGCCTATTACAAAAAAAAATATTTATACACCAACTTTAAAAAATATTAGCACTAATTTCCAATAACTAATTAAGTAATTTTTTATTGACTAATTAATTAATATATTAAATTAAATTAAATAAAAAAACTGGCCGGGCCGAAAAAAATTGGGGCCGGCGCGCCGCCGGGTCGAAAAAATTTGTGCCCGGTGCGCCGCCGTGCCGATTTTTTTTTTGCGGCCGGTACGACGCCCATCCGAAAATTTCTTTCGGCTCGGCGGCGCCGCGGGCACAATTTTTTTTCGGCCGGTCGCCGAACACGCCGTTGGAAAAATTTTGGCCGGCCGAAAATTGATTTCGGCTCGACGGCGTTCCGGCCACAATTTTTTTCCGGCCCACCGTGTTTTTCGCCGGAAAATTGAAAAACTTGCCGGAAAAAGTAAACTTACTTGTTTTCCGACGATTGAGGACGACGGGAGGTTGGCCGGCGACGGAGGCACTGGGCTCGTCGACAAAAGTGTTTTTGTTGGAATGAGTCAAATGTTATGGTATTCGAATTTATTGAATGAAAGGAAGGGAAGGAAGGGAGAATTCAAAATTTGAATTCAACTTTTTTTTGGTTAGCAGCAAATAGCAATTTGGTTGGCGGCAAATAACCGTTCCCTTATTTTTATTTTTTCCTTCCGGGGAGATTGGAGATTTCACCAATTTGAGGCATTCAAAAGGAAATCGCTAGACTCGGATCTTTGCTTTGCAAGTGAGCTTTTTAAATGTGTGTTAAAACATTTTAGTTGATTTTGCGATAGTAAGGGAGCGATTGTCGCTGTATTCTTCCTTGATTACTTATTGTTTGTATATTCTATTACTTGGTAAAATTTTCGTCTTAATCTAGGATTTGTTTGGATTTTTCAACTTATTGCATCAAATTCTTAAGGAAGAAAATTTACTTTATTGAGAAATAAATTTTTTTTAAATACTTAAAAGGATTGGCCTAATGATAATGTTGGAGGATAAACTTGACCATGTATAACTTCTAACAACTCGAGTAATCGGAATCATCAGTTAGTCCTTTACTTATAACGGAGCCTTAAACCTAGCTAGAGATCACGTGTTTGAATCTCCACGAACCTTATAGTAACGGTTAGTTTAAGCACATGGTGAGGGTCATGCCCATGTACAGCTTCAAGCACATGGGTCTCTACGAACCTTATATTTAACAGTTAATTTACGCACATGGTAAGATGAGTCTCTGCAAGTTTCAAACCACACGAGATCAAATGTGTAATCAATGGAACCAACAATTTTTTTTAACCTATATGAAACGATTAGTTATGCAAACTTCAAACTTTCTAGTTAGTTTTCGCTTAAATACCCCAGACAGGTTCTAGCATTGATAGTAAAAAAATCTCGTCAATAACGCTCCAACCAAAATTTGGTAAATTGGCAGTCTAAATATAATCATTCCATAAATCCATATGACATTAATTCAGCCATCCTTTAACGACTAATCAACAAATCAAGTGTTCTTGTCATTTTATTCCATTATCCTCCCCTGATCCCACATTTGCCAATATTGATCACCTTTCTTTGGAATTCTTACATAAAGTCCATCGTCTTTAGCAACCCAGGAGATGCTGTAACCATACTCATACTTTTCTGCCACATGATCCGTCCACGCATTGAAGTGGATGTGGCGGCCGCCGTCGGGGGCTACGTAGCACCAGAACAGAGTTGACACGAAAAGAAACCCCGGCCGGAACCGCCACGTGAACTCGTTGGTCGGGGTGATGTTCTGGACTCCCAAATCGCGGGTGCCGGACTTGCAGTGGACAAGCAACACCTTCCCGCCGGTGAGCTCGTTGGTGACGTGTACATGGTGGTACGGCCAGAAGGAGTACGCCGCTGCGGTTGTGGCAGAGAGCAGTAGATTCGAGATGATGACGGTGGTGCTCAGAATCGCTGCTGTGGAGGTAACCCTGCTGCTGCTGCTGATTTCTTTCCCCATTACAGGTTTGTACCCAAAGAGGCAAAGACACTTGTTTCACAAGGATTCAAAGCTGTATATTCTTCTTCAGTGTGTATATACATGTATACATATATATATCTCTTTGGTAGTTATTTTTTTTTCTGACATGATATATCTTGGGAAGTTAATGAAGCTGATAAGCTTTCCTTAATTAAAAAGGTACTGAAGATATGGTAGTTCTATTAAAAAAAAAATTTAGTCAACAGCTCAATATGCAATGGGCAGGGAGATCTATTATTAATTGTTTTACCATTTATTAGCGTTCTAGAAAGGGAAATTACTTATTAAAAATGACTCCCTTTTTTAGATTGTATTTAAAATTTAATAAGGAGTAGATCTAGTTCAAAATTGAAATCGGCAAATTCTTACAAAACCAGCATTTCAATCGGTTAATGAGTTCACCATCCGAATAAATCGAAAACTGATATAAGAACAATGAGGGGGCGGACTAGTAATTTTTTGCGCCCTCACGTCATATCATGGTTTTATCATCGTGATAAATATTCCACGTTATTATTTTACTATTTTCATACAGTGATTTTACTGCTATGGTCATCTCCCTGACTTCATATCATAACCTTAACATGTTCTCTTGTGTGTTTGTCGGTCCGCATATCCCTGTTGCTTGGTGCACTCCTTTGTCGAGCTTCTTCGAGATCAGTTTTGATGTTGTTGATCACCAAGATGGCCTCTGTTTGTCAGGTTTGGGTGCCACACGGACTTGTGTCGGCTGAGGGTATCCAACATCTTATTCTTTAGATCTATAGCTAGTAATAGCAAAGTCAGAAATATGAGTAGGGAGGGAGGCCTTAATATTATAAGCGCAAGAACTTGAATGGTGGTAATAGGTGAGTCCAATGTGGCCCTGCCACTAATAGTTGGTTGAGCTACTTGCATGCTTTGCATTGGATTGATGACTTAACAAGGTGATTGTCGAATGACACTCGAACGTCGTTGTTTGTTAACTTAAGTTGTATTTATGTTCAAATACTTTGATGTTCCTCTTTTCCATGAGTGTCAACAACTGATTTTTTTGTTATATGTGGTATAAAGTTTAGAGTGGTTTCCCGAGTCTCAATTTAATGAGCCTATAGAATGGTGTGAGCTCAGCTCTATATATGTTTTTTTACTAGTGTTAGCATGTTGTATTCTGTAATGTTTGGAAATTGGAAGTTGTAAAGCTCATCAAAAGCTGGCAAATTTCTTACAACATTCTGATTAGTCATGAAATTGTCGATCATCTTAAAACTTCAAAATCAAGAAAGAAAAGGTGGATGGCAGTGAAACTGAATATGGAGAAAGCTTACGACCGGGTAGAATGGTCTTTTCTCTTCGAAATGATGAGAGTACTTGGTTGGCATTCATCATAGATTCATTTCATGGGTAAAAGAGAATGCGCCACAACTGTATCATACTCAGTGCTTATTAATGGTTCTCCATCTCAATACTTCAAACCTTCCAGAGGGTTAAAGCAAGGCGACCCTCTCTCCTCTCTACTTTTTGCCAACTGTGCAGAAGGGTTCTCGAGTATGATAAGGAAAGCTACGTCTTTGGAATATCTGGAAGGAATCAGAATCAGGCCCCATTGCCCGGTGATCTCTCATATATTCTTCGCAGATAATTCTTATCTTTTCCTGGCCGCCTCCCCAGGATATTGCGCAACTCTCCTGTCAATACTCCAAGCATACGAGGAGTTGAGCGGACAACTAGTGAACCTAATCAAGTCGGCCATTCTATTCAGTCAAAATACTAATCCTATCGAGGCTTAGAGTATGGGTGCTCAGTTGGGAGTTGGAAGCATAGGAGAATAAGACTCATAGTTAGGATTACCAGCTATCCTATCAAGATCGAAAAGAGATACTTTCCTTTTTATGGAGGAGAAGCTCATCAAGAAGTTACAAGGGTGGAAGCAACGCTCGCTATCCAAAGTTGCGAAAGATACCCTTATTAGGTCCTCTGCCACGAACATTCTGGTACTTGGAATCTCATGCTTCAAACTCCCAAAGAAGAATTGTAGACGACTAAATAGTCATGTGACAAAGTTTTGGCGGGGAACTGCAGATAATACAGCCAATCAACTAGCTATCCTGGTAAAGTCTAGCACATAGAAAATTTCATGGTGGACTCGGTTTCAGGAATTTTGGCGCATTCAATCAAGCCCTATTAGCAAAACAATGTTGGAAAATTTGGACTAATCCGAATTCTCTCCTTTCCCAGATCTATAAGGGCTGATACTTTCCCCAATGCTCAGTACTAGAAGCCTCAATTAGCT